AAAAAAAAAAAAAAAAAAAAAAAAAACGTGAATACCTTAAATAATTTATTTCGCGTAATTGCAAAAAACCGGACTGCTGCAGTAACGAGAAGAATTGCAAGAAATTCCAATAAATTGTTCACGATCGAAGATGATCGGAACCAATAAAAGTAATTGAGTCCGTATGATAAACCCGATACAATAGAAAGACGATAAATCCCACCTCCGCCGACAAAAAAAAAATCATCAAATTGACCTTGAAACTTTATGGAATGAAATAATCGTTTAACGATAACAAAAGATAACATTTTTAAAAAATACTCTCATAAGATTAGTACGTGAATCGAGAAAGTCTACATTGAGCGTTATGACCTTTCGATCTATAGTAATGCCGTCCCAGTGCCTTCTGGTTAAAGATTACGAAAGAGCGACAAGGACAGAGACTAAGGCGAGTAGGTGAGAGAGAGAGAGAGAGAGAGAAAACGAACTAGAAGAAAGAAGCGACAAAAGTTTCATCGCCGTCACGAGACTCGCGAACTTTTGAAGCCGCGCAAAGGGAACGCAGGGCGTCGCGACGCTCGAGCGACGACGCGTCCTTTACAGCAATGGCATTGCCAGCCGCTTCCTACACGGCGCGACTTTCCCAGTGGACGGTCAAGGCCTTCGCGATTCAGTTACATAAAATTGATTGACCATCGCGTTATAAGACGTTTGACGGTCTGCAATTTCGCGTCCATTAAATTGCACACAGTGGAACACAGGACTTATACACAGTGGAACACAGATACGGCCCAACGAGTATAACTCGTACAAAGTATGGGTATCCCGAGCAATATAAATTGCTGCTGGTGCTAGGTAAACGGTAGTAAAGTAGTGAAAAAAAAGTAGTTAAATAAACAAAAGAATTTAAGTCTACGAGGTACGTAATGCATAGGGTAAACGTGTGAAATGCATAGACTATGTAAAAAAAAATGACACGATATAATGATAGAGTAAGAAATTTTTTTTGGAAATTAATTATTAATATTTTATCAATAAGCAATAACTTAGCGTTGACCATGACGGTTTTTATTCACCTAGTCGAATTGTGTGTCACGTGGTCGTTCGATTTTTTTTCAAGACATTTTTTTTCTGATTTTATCCCGTCAAACCGAGTGTAACGGGTTTGCGGTAGATTTCTATGAAATATACGGTAGTCAGTTTGGGGGTTTACCTGTGTGTCCTGTAGTGACCAGGGATTGTCCTACGCACTAGTTCTAGGACACGAGTATCAGGTTTTATTATTCATTGAAATCGTTAAGAGGATCGATCTGAGGATAGAGGCACATGCGCTCGGGCTGATATCAGCTGAGACCTTAAGGTCCTGGTTATTATTGGGACACGTTATATTCGCCTAGTCTAAATACCCAGCGAAACTTTCCCGTAGTAGCTTGGAGAATGCCCAAGTGCAATTGACCCGGGAAAGTAACGGGACCGCAAGAGAGAGCGGGAGAATTTTGAATTTCAATGCCAAAAGAGTCCGCCACAGCACTTTCGAATAAAATTCGGATCCCGGTAAAATAGCTGACGAATTTCGACTGGAGCACCCTGTATATCGGTCAAGTAAAAATGAAGCAATTTGAAAGAGGGGAAAAAAAATAATTTTCAAAAATTCAATCCGAGACATTCTCATACCCGAGTCGTATTACGCAACCGAGCGATCGTTCAGGCATACACGATGTAAATTACCTGTTTTACAAAAATTTGCAGAACACAAGCCAATGAATAATTCAAGCGATTCCGAGTCAAGATCCGATTCAATGTGTCTGTATCGTGTAAAAAAAGGGTTTACACGTGCGTTCGTTTGAAGTGGAGGCAAAATAAAAAAATTATTCATTCACGTCTTTTTTTATTTACAAAAAAATTTTCCCTCGCACGTATTCAATCAGCGTAATTCTTATCTACAATGTCATACGCGATAATTCATGAATTCACATATTCACCCAAGGGTACCCGACCTACCGTGTAACCGTAGATATCAAGATTCTCTTAAAAGGGACGTTTAAGTTTCGCGCTTTGAAAACCACGTTCGCCACTTGTCGTGCCACCTTTAAGTACCCCGGGTAGCCAGTCAATGGGTACCTCGTAACGCGGCACCGAGCAATAACTGGCGAACAAGCGACGAGAATACGGCGATGTCGTCTTACGTAATTTTCAAATGAATGGCTCCGTGTCGCGCGTTCGCGAACCCGAATACATTTCAACGGGCAAGTAACGGTGGACTTTCACGTGACGAAAAAGAAATTTACCCAAGTTACGTAGACGCCCCATTGAAATTCATGAAAATTCGTAACACACTCTAGCACGATATATTTCGTAGGATATTCTCTATGCTGTATCGCTGTGCGTGTCATTTTATTTAATGCCTGTCAGCCTTCAGATACATCGCGCGACAAATCGAAAAGTTTGGTCAGAGTTTAAAGCCTAGTTTATATGGTAGCGATGACTTCACGCTTCACGAATAACTAGCAATAACGGTACGGTACGCGACGTAAGAGTTATGGAAGTATAGATGGAATGTTCTAGTTGTACGAAAATATATGTATAGAGATAGATTTTTCTTTTAGAAATTCTTTTTAGACTGAAAAAAATTTATCTTTGAATCATTCGCGGTACTTCATTAAGACAAATCCGGGTTTTTTCTTCGATTAATTGTACGAAGTGACTGTCGCGTTTACGAAATAAAAAAAAATATTTAGTATAATTATATTTTGTATTTAGCACCCGAGCACTCGATGATCAGTCAAATGCTGGATAAGAGGTAAAAAAGAGTGATTGGCCATTTTCAAAAATTTTTATCATTTTCTGTGTTGATGTTCGTGGACCGTTTTATTAATATATTTATCGCAGATTTCGTGGGACGTCTTTTGACAAGCAGATATACAGACTGTCGTACTCTTAATAAATATGAAAATACTTTGTGGTATATAAAAGTTTTCAAATAAATACATCACGTGATAACAAAGTTTCTTAGATTCGCATAAGCCGCTATTTTGATATTTAATTTTTAGGAAAAGTCGCCGGTTACGCGCGTCAGTTTCTAGAAAGATCCTCCGGTCAACAATGGCTTAATTCCATGACATCGTCGTATGCTATTGAGAATAATTGACGGTTCTTGATTGCTTCATTGTTTTGAATAGACGCCACTCGAAATAGATTTATGAATTATATATTTTAATTTAACATTGTTTTCAATCACGAATAATTTTCGTGTTACGTTGCGCCTGTACGAAAATAGCCAGTGCCACTTTGCTAGACTTCATAAAAGTAACGGGTCAACAGCACGGCCAAATGTAAATTTTTTTTCTCATTTTGTCTATCAAACAATGTTCTGAATCCGTGAAGTATTTTGGCCGCGAGCCCGAAAGAATTTTCGAAACGTGATATACCGTGATATCGCCGCGTTAAAATTGGACATAGCTTTTGCAATAGTGGGGATTGAGTGGATATCAAATATTTAGATCTTCAATAGTCTACGATCGGTCAGAGCTGAGCGGTTCGACCAGCTGTTTTACAATCATCCCACCACCAATCGCCATTCCAAAGCAACGTACAAACATTTGCATTCGTACGGGGAGTACAAGAGTGAGATTAAGAAGTAAAATGAAAGGAGTTGAAAAAAAGAAAACATCGTCGGGTTTAATGGTACAACGTACGCAAACATCTCGAGTGCACGGACATGTACGTGACTGAAGATCTTTTTAGAAGAGTCACGAAGAATGGAAATTCGCAAGGGTTAATTGTAAATGACCGATACAATGTTCACGAGAAAGTAAACAATACCTGTTGCTTCGATAAGGGGTTTATATTTTTTGTTTTCTAATATGAACAGGATACGAACGACAACTCGAGGAACGACGCCGGGCGTCATGATTTATCATGGATTCCTTGAAGTAAATCCATATCGCAAACGAAGCCGCGATCGTCGTAAATCATCCAGCGGCGAACTAACTATAACGGGCCGACGGTGCACGAGATGAAATAACGTATTAAGAGACTGGACGATGTACAGAACGTTATTGGGATTTATTGAGTTGAATGGAAGCTAGGGGAATTATGTAATCGACAATGGAAAGATTGTAGGAAGAACTTTGAAAATCTTAAACTTTTAAAGACATTTGGCATTACGCCTACGCTCGAATCACTGCTAGTTTCGTGAGTAACAGGCGGAAATTGCAGGTATACTTTCTAAGTTTGATTTTTGCACAGACTTCTTGTTGCTTTGGATAATTAATTGGTTCAATTGATCCTACGTTTGTTTAGATGCCTGTACTTACCTAATAGGGCCGATCCTAATTGAAGTACCACAGACACTTTGAAATAACGATGGGAACGACATAACCCGCGCACAAAAATGCAACAGCCATATTGTTTACTGGCTGGACTCGTCTGTGACTCCTTGAACTGTCGGCTAAAACTGAGTTAAGTTGGTCGCGCCATCGCGTAGAAGCTTCTGGTAGCTTTGTCATACGACACTCTCGATAGGTAATGTTGTGCTGCGTTTTTATCTTACTTTTGTGAAAATGATTGTCAGTTTCATGAAAATTCCCATAGACGGCGCGTCATGCTAAAGACATTTGTATACAAGAAGAAACGTAAGAAATACATAAAGTGAAAATCATGGCGGACTCGGCTGGAAATTGGTGTCTCATTGAGAGTGATCCTGGTGTATTTACTGAATTAATTAAAGAATTTGGTTAGTATAATTATTTGGCAATAATTTAATGGCTATTTATGAGAGTGTTCGATGGGTATTGGATGAAGGCGTTCAACAATTTTTTTCATATGAACTTTAGTGTCTCTAGATGACAGAACTTTGTAGAATTGAAATTCATGACTATGCTTTCTTCTTTTTGTGATTTTAGGAGTCAAGGGTGCTCAAGTTGAAGAATTATGGAGCTTGGACGACGAACAGTTTGAGAACTTAAAGTAATTATTTTTCTTTGATCGACTATCTTTTTTAATCTCAGTATTGGTTTGGCAATGTTTCTAATTGTCCTTAGGAGTGTTTAATGGTGTGACTTTATATTTGCAGGCCGATTCATGGATTAATCTTTTTGTTCAAATGGGTACAGGACGATGAACCTTCAGGAAGTATTGTACAGGACAGTAGACTCGATAAGATATTCTTTGCCAAACAGGTACGTTGTTAAGTATGTGAAATAAGTTTGTGAGATTCATTATCATTTAAAAAAATTACTGAAATCCTTTGTTTCTTTCAGGTGATAAATAATGCTTGTGCAACACAAGCAATATTGAGTGTCCTGTTAAATTGCAAACATGCAGACATATCTCTTGGTCCAAATTTAGAAGAATTTAAGAATTTTTGTCAAAGTTTTGATGCTAATATGCGGGGTTTGGCTCTGAGTAATTCTGATATTATTAGAGAGGTTCATAACTCATTCTCTAGGTGAAACTCTTTTTTTTATCTTTCTCATCCAGTAACTGATATCTTAAAATGCAGTACAAGAATTTTTTATTCTTTCTGTTTAGGCAAACACTTTTTGAGTATGATTCTAGACAGGCATCCAAAGACGAGGATGTTTTTCATTTTGTAAGCTATGTACCAATCGATGGTCGCTTATATGAATTAGATGGATTAAAAGAGGGTCCGATGGATCTAGGCCCTTGTCCACCAGGAGATCAATGGGTGCAAGCAGCAAAACCAATTATTCAAAAAAGAATCAACAAGTGAGTTCAAATACAGTTTCGAAAACAGCAATATTTTTACAGAATACTGAACCTCAGTAACAAATTATGAAATTTTAGGTATAACGAAGGAGAAATTCATTTTAATCTGATGGCTTTGGTCACAGATAGAAAGACACTTTATGAACGACAGAAGGCAACGATTTGTGATCCAGCAGAACTTGCCAGATTGCAAACGCTCATTGAAGAGGAAATTGGGAAATCGAAAAGATATCAGATTGAAAATATACGACGAAAGCATAATTATCTTCCACTGATAATGGAATTGCTTAAAGTACTTGCCAAGGAGGGTAAACTGGTGCCACTTTATCAAAAGGCAAAGGAAAGGGCTATTGAGAAGGAATCAAAAAAGAGTAAAGTGTGAAACGATTAGATTCCAATTCTCTGGAAATATGAAGTACAATAGCTGCAACACATATTTCACAAAGTTTCCATACTACAACAGATTATAATATGCAAACGCATGCTTCTTTACCTCGGAAAGAATATTGTGCGCATTCAAAAAGAAAAAACAAAATGAAAATACAATTATTTACTTAAATCTATGTGTTATGACGTTTTTATTGTACAAATAGTTTCTTTTTATAATAAGTTCATTCTTATCCGATAAGTAACAAAATACAATAAATTGTAAAAATAGTATATGTAAAACTGAAGTCGTTATTTTCTCATTCTTTAGGTTTTTTATCAATTAACTTTGCTTTACCATTCTCAAATGAAATACGCGGCAACATCCTATCAAACGGCGCGTTTCGTATTTTTGGTATATGTACCTCGTACAAATATTCAATTGCCTCTGTGATCACACGAAATACGTGATCAATATCGTACTTAAAAATGGTGCAAGTAAGAATAAAATATAATATCAGATTAGAGCACTCACCCCATAAGTTATCCGACGACCCACGTGGAACTCTTTCGAGAAGTGTTTTGAAAATTCGAGAAAGGTGAGAGGTATGCATCCCATCAAAATATTTTCCAATCTTAGTCCAATTAAATTCGGACTTATGAGCTAATCCTTTACCGTATAGACTAAGAAATACGACAAAAATAATGGCTGCTGTTTGAAAAATAAAGTTTGAATCTTTATACTAGTACCTACTATTCTATTAGCTTCACTTTTATGTCGTTCATGTAAATGGGTTCTTCGCAAAATAATTGCATGTGCAATTGATTCCGCCAGAAATGTTTCAGGACATCAAAATATATATTGAGCTTCAAAGCCACTTTTTTCCAAATCAAAACCGGGATTTCTACATCTTTTAAATATTTTACATCTTGAACCTTAGTTACGCGTAACAATTCATTTATGAAGTCTTCGATCAAGGGCAAAGTCCATCGTACGTCTACACAAAATAAGATAATTCTGATTATGGATACACCTTGAAATATAAAGAAGCCAACATTCCGTACACCCTATTAACTATTTCGCTTACTAGTTTTTGGAAGAGTTGATGACTTTTTAAGAAGAAGCCGATATCGACGGAATATGGAAGCTCGATTCCTATTCAAAAGTAATGCTAATTCGGCATATTTTTTATGATTCCCACTGTACAAGATAGAACCATTTCCTAAATAGGCTAATATCTTTTTATCTTCGCTTTTTGTATATCTAGAATAAATCATTTTAATGTGTATAAAAAAAAAAGATTTTCCATGAATATATCCTACCTGTCATTTTTAAACTTTTGATGCAAGTTTCTAAATCTATAATATATGCTGCACAATGTACGATGTGGCAAGTCCTTTGCTAGAAATTGTACAAATTTCTTTCTATCTTCAAAATCAGGCAAATAAAATACGCTGGGCTTATAGCTCATGAATAAAAATGGCTTTACATCTTTTGGATCCCAATCATGCAACTGTCAAAATTTATTGGCATGATCATTAACCATTTTATCATTGTTTATAGCAAATTGATTTTTATGTACCTACTTCACAGAATTCTTGCCAATTTTCTAGAATAATTGTATCTTCTTCAGTCGTGTATGGACCACGTTTCATACGTGCAAATGATCTCATAATTTTTCTTTCTGCTAACGTTGGTGCATGTGTACCAGCGAGAATTTCAACTTTATGCTGTTCAGGAACTTCATGCGTGAGCTCTACAGTTAACATCTTTAATTTCTATAAATAAAAAATAAAGTTTGAGGGTTCCATTCTGCTTTTTAGTAGAAGTAAATTTATTGTAATCAATTCACTTGTTGTTTCTCTTCCGAAATATCTTGATGCTGTTTAATAGCCTTTAACTCTTCTAAAATAGTTTTTTCATTGATTTCTTTTTTGTTCTGCCTATGACTTGTAGGAGACTCTTCCATGGAAGTATAATTATTCTCAGATTCATTGTCACTTCCATTTTTTCTACACTTTTCGACAGACTGCTTCTTTGAATATTTTACAGATTTCGTAGATGCTATTGGTGACTGGAAAACAGATATTTTAACATCATCAAATTCCATCATACTGTCAAAATCATGAACCATCTCAATTGCTTCAAAACTTTCTAGCTCCAATATATCATTTTTATTAATATCATCTTGACAAGGCATGTCATGAATCATGTTAATGATATCACAATTAATTTTTTCATACTCATTATTAAAACTTCCACTTCTTGACCTTGGTTCATGCTTTATCGAGCCTACAACATTTGGAGAAACGGATTCACATTTGTTTGGAGTAATTTGTATTTGAACATCATCTTTCGTCATAGAACTCAATCTAGGTGAGCATCTCAGTGTTGAATTTATTTTTGAATTCTTAGTAAATAATCCATTATCATATTTATCTGAATCTTGATTGGATGGATCTGAGTTTTCAAAAGTAGTTTCAAGTTTATTGCATAAACCCTTCTCAATACTTAAATCTGGTATACTGACTTTCAGCTGCGTATTTTCTGCTAGTAAATTGGTTTGTTTCAGATGATTTCTGTTAAATGTCGAGTGGTACTTATCTTTCAATTCAATAGCAGAAGTATTTGTCAAATTCTCAGTTGATGATTTTACCATGCCAATAGTATTGCTTTCAGTTCTTCTCTCTATTCCTACATTACTATTATTGTCAAATGTATTCATTAAATTATTCTTTGTACCAGTTTGATCCACATCATTTTCAACAGAATTTGAAATACTGGGTTTATCACTATCTTCCTTTAAGACAGATTTCCTAGACGTTTTGATATAAGATGTGATTTTATTCTTAGGAGATCTAGAAAAGCTTAACGATTTACTTTTCTTTGCACTTTTTTGAGTGTAACCATTTTTAGAAAGTTTCTTCATTGTGAGTTATATTCCTTCCTTACTCTAGTTTATACTCACAATGTATCACAATGTTATCACAACAATACTTAAAGTAATCATCTAAAATACCACTGAACTATACTCAGTGGTATTGTCCCTCTAGTAAGAGTCCGGCCAAACCCGGAAGGGACGCCATATCAAGGGCTTGTTTGGCGCCATCATGACATTGTGCGCGGATTTTCAAACTTTCAATGTTTACCATCAAGAGACTCGGTCGAGTCTCGCGCCAAGTACAGGCAACCCGCCGTACAGAGCTTAACACTACCCACACTACACAATGCGAATCTCTCCCATATACGTATTCACACGACCATTCTATTCCGGAAAGAGCCCATAATATGGCGGAGCCAATCACTAACAAGCCCCACCGTTGGCCGGACTCTTACTAGAGGGACTCTACTCACATGGCACGCACCCACAGTAATAAAAGTTCGAGCAGAAAGAGATAGCATTCTTATAGTGGGATCCATCTTTTTTTCTAAGCGTTTTAGCCAATGAGATTCCTAGACTTGGCGTCTCGTTTCCATAGATACCATAAGATACCACCTATAATCTCTGGAACGCACCGGTGCCCCTTTATAGATGCTTTTCAGTTACAACTTGCAATCAACACGTGGGTAGCGAGGTTCGACAATATTTTTGAGCTATGATATATCCACAAAAATGGTAAAATCGTGTTATATTAAGTCGTGTAAGCAAGAGTGGCGGCTCAACAGCACCATTCCATTTCACCGGTAATTTGTGTCATAATATTATACAGAAAATAGTCGCGCTTTTTTATGACCGAATAAGTTATCTATAAAGAAAAGATTCTCTACTCGTTATTTACCACTTATTTACGAATGTTACGTTGTTCACGTAGCCGCCGAAATTCATTTAATATACCGCATCAAAAAAATTACAAAAATTCCGTCTTTAGACGGCCCAGAAAAACAAAGAGGTAGTCCACTGTATCGGCCATCTCTCTCTGCTCGCGGTTTTACTACTGTGGACGCGTTCCATATTGAGTATAGTTCAGTGTTAAATACCTATAAAAAATAGGTAAGACTTCAGAATACCACTCCTTGAAATGACCTGGTAGCTTGAAATTTGGTAGTCCATTTAAAATATTTTATGGTCAGTCGTTCTTTTACAGTCCTTCAAACCCGAAATTGGAACAATATTCTCTTCAAGCCTTGTTTGAGTGGAGTTGAGTGGAGAATCTGTGGCTCATATTCATAGATAAGTCTTTCAGGAAGTCTTTAAAGCTTCTTTAGATTAATGGTATTAGTCTGAAAACTCGGAAAACTAGACTTATCACTGATTACGTTTGCACGTACGGATTTTAGACGGGATCAGCCAATTACGTTCTTTTATTCTTTTTAAACCTTACACATGATTGGTGAATAATTTTTAAAACCCCTGGTTCAAATAAAGTCCGAAATTTAGTTAAAATTTTTGTAGATTCTACAAGTCCTTTTCAGTATTAGAAGCTCTTGTTAAACTCAGTATTGAACCTCCAAGATCTGTCTGTAGGTGTTCATAGACATAAACTATAGTTACCAGTCTGCCAGTAAGTCAAAAGATTAAAGATGTGAGTATTCTAAAGACGCAAAATACTTTGAGTCAACCGATAACTACACCAAATATTTTATTTGCTTTTTAACAGTAATCGTTATTACAATTCAATAGTAACTGCGCCGCATAATGACTACCTGAATGTCCCAAATAGTTACTGTGTCACACCGTTATTAACTGCTATTGAACTTCGATAGTAACTATTCCGAATGATAATATCCCCAACAGTTACTACTATTTTCTGATACTACGCATTATAGACAATGAATAGTTACTATTTAATCTTAATAGTAACTATTGCGAGTTCAATAGTGTTTCTTCATAAGGGTTCTTAAACCGTCACTATGATCTGCTATAAATCGATTGGAAAGTAATACGAATATAATAATTACTTTTTACCTATAAAGTTTATTATACCTGATGTACCGAGCTGTACCAAACGTATATGCGCAATATGGCCACCAAACGTAAATTTTAATATTCCGTAGAGTTCTTGTTACTGTTCTAAAATTACATCTTATGTGTCACCAGTCGAAACTTTTAAGCCTTATTAAAACACGAGCTAACTGATGTAATAGGTCTTTATATTTATATTTGTACAGATCTTTTCAAAGTGATCTCACCAACGAAGACACAGAGAGCGAGTAACAGTCCCAGAAATAAGATAAAGAATGTGCCTTGAACTTGAGCCACTGTCATCTTCATCGGTCCTTGATCGACGAAGGTCTCTTGAAAGATAAGAATAGTTTAATGATATGCCTAATCAATGGACGCTTTTCTTTTAACTATTCGATAAAGTTTCAAGACCTTTCGACACGGCTTTTTGGGTCCCATAATCCAAATACTCTGCTACAACTTGGTCTTCCCAACGGGCTGGTATACCGGAAGCCAGAACTTGCAAAATCCTCAGGCTAAACCATGTCGTGTACGCTGAACTCTTCCGTAACATGAATACGCAATTTTCCCAATAGATGTCACTGGCCATCAAGTGCATTTTCTCCACGTACTTCTGCTGCAGGTATTCTTGAACCGCAAAATGTCCTGGGAAGCTCAAATTGTTTGGTGCATATTATAAATCACTTTTTGGATTATTATAATAACACTAAATATTTACCAGACGATAGTCTCTCTATACTGAAACCCCATTCCATTTCTGCGCTGCGTTTTATAATCTCATTGAATTTTACAATTCGAAAATTCTTCAATACGATTTTCAATTCAGGATCGTCGGTTTGCAAAATTGAAAATATCCAAGCATCGTGAGTGGCTGCCCACTTTAGATCACGATTCGCCATGTCTTCTGCGCTATTTATAGGGGCGTCGTACCTTCATAAGATACAACATATTTTAATAACCAGTCAAAATTATATTGAACTAAAAAGTACAGTGCTGTTTCCCAATAATATCCATTACTATTAAGTATAACCTGGGAACTGTCATGGCTGATGCCAAGCTACTGCTGTAAGCGGTACACAGCAATACCGACACTGCTAACATGCTAAATGCCATTGTGCGCCACGAAAGTTCTTTCCGATTTTTTATTAATCCTTGTTGAAGAAATATTCCGGCAACTTCTAAAGCCGCAATGGCGGAGACTATTTTATTATCTGAAAATATTTGTAATTCATAAAAAAATCCAATCTGACAACAACTTGCTGCTATTGCAGTCACGTGAATTTTAATTAATGGTTATGAGAAACACCTTCGAAAAAAATATAATTAGCTCCATAGTGAAGTAAAAAGCTGACTACGTTACAAATAATTAAGGTTGTGACAACTCCCGCCCATAGTTCTGGGGAAAACGGTAAAATTGGCGAGCGCCACAGTGGCAAACGATGTGGCGGTGGAACTAAACAAGTAACTCCAGTTCTTATGTACGCCGTTGTTAAATCCAAATACAAGGATTCATGATACCACGTATATAGTGCCACTGTAATTTATAATAAACACATTGTGTGTATATATATATATATATATATCGTGCATTGCAGATGGATTAAATTTATTTTATCGTTACCAAATCCAATGTCAGCTCTGTCCTCCACGAGGGCACCTAAGACGCCGTTTCCTGTTCGATTATCAAAAATTGTTCCCCACGATTCTTCATCGCTGACAAAACGCTCAAAAGTGCAGTTATGGAATTTAGCAAATTGCAATGCCATCCGCCATTCAGTGCCGTCGATCTGTGAATTATTTCTGAGAAACAAAATACAAATTATAGTCATTTGCCATTGTCGTTATTAACAATTTTGATAAGGCTTATTTATTTTAAGCTTACTGAGTGTCATTCCCAGTAAGAACGACGTATGGCATATAGTGAAAAACAGCAGCACGCAAAATTTTTCCTTGCAAATCTTTTATCTTATCAGGAAACAAGTTTGCGTCTAATAAAAATTTCCCTGAGGTAATGTTATACGTATCCAAGACGATAATTTCTTTTGACTGATTACTAGTCCCGCCAAAATAATGAGTCTTCAAATTAAAAATATTTTTGGTGACTGAAGGTTCCACCATTATTAAATTTGGAACATAATTGGCAGATCTCGTCTCAACTATTGAATGAGAATCAAGATTCTTGAACGAGGATTTTTCCAGTAGCGGCAAGAAAATTAATTTTCGATTGCCCCTGTTATTGACAAGAACAAAAGTTTCTTCCAAAAGTACAAATTGCCGTGCCGGATTTTTAGTTTGAATAACAAACCTATAGGACAAAGGAAAAATGTAGAATTTATGATTGACACAACAGATATTATAATTACCCATTGCAACCAATTTCCAAAATTTCCGTTAGATAAGTTGTTTTGTAAGTCTCGCTATCCATATTTTCATTTTCCAAAAGAGTGTCGTACGGGTCAAAATAAAGCGCAGGTATCACAGACTTGAATGCGCAACCATTATTTGAAAATACGACAAGACACGTGTCGTTTAAAAACCGTTGTGCTATCAGATCAACCATTTTACAAATTTCTTGAGTCTCGAAACACGCGCAACATACGAAAACGTAAAATTTTAAAATTAACAAACGCATCCGCATTCCTCCCATTTTGAAATGGCACATGACATCGTGATGGTCGCTGATATATCTATAATTTCATATGCATAAAGAGAATAGAAATGAAAGTAACGTCAAGAAAGAAAGAAAATACACTATGGATAAAAGGAGAGTAAACACGCTTGAATTCCTTTGAGTCTCGTAGGACATAGCGATGATAAACATGCAATGTAACTAAAGGAGTAGTTTGCTCATTTCCCACTAATCGTAAGTACCAATATCAGACTCAGATCACATTATTCCATAATTCATTCAAAACCTGAAAACTATTAGAACAGTCTTTGATGTGAATTCTTTTTTAAATCGACAAATTCTTTAAAATAAAAATTTGACTAGTGAGAGCGTTCGCGCATACATACCTAGGCCTTGGCATGAATACTTATCCCAAAAATAGGTATGGAGAAATATATTCTAGCAACCACATTGCTCACGTAACCTATCATTTTTACGTAATTATTGTGTAACAATATATAATTCATACCTATAGACTACATAAGGTAACTATTACGAGATGTGATTACTTGGGATGTTTGTACAAGCGTAATTACCGACAAAGTTTCTTACAGCAAGATAATACATTTAATGTACTACATTTGTTCATCTTTCATTCCAGATTTGTTAACCGCGTGCAAGAAAACCAGTAGTAAATATAGATCCATGCGCGATACCGTAGTAAAAAATAAATCAGATAAAATGAGCATAACGATGGGACAATATCGTATCAACAGTATTATGTCTAATATTATATGATGTTGGCTATACGCGTATGACTAATATTTACACAAGTATACTTAGTCATTCTTAAAGTATATCACATGTTTCCGTAATACGCAACGAAAACGCTACGGGAGCTGCCATTATAACACAAGTGTACCACGTTACTTTCTATATGATATGAATTAAATAATTGGAAGAACAAGAAAGAATCCATTCTAGCTGCGAAAAAATAAATTAAAAACTTCGTACTAGCAACCTTGGAAAATACAGCACGGTGGCCATTACTGAAATGGATAAAGTGCATGTTAGTAATTTAATGTACATCATCAAAGTCATCAGAACGCTTTGCGTTCGCTGGATAATAATCTACAAGTAAAGGTCGGGGTCTTTGCCCAATGCCAGAAGGTTGCTGTAATCCACAGCTGCGTTCCTCGTTAGTTAAGACAGCAACGAGAGTCCTGACCACTTGCTCATCCAACTGAGACATTGGCTTACTGGGACTCTTCATACGTCGCAAAAAGAGAGCATTCCACTTTTGTCTGAGATGTAAAAGCAGTTGTGCACCTTCAGGATCCATTTTGAACACTACCCAGTCGTCTAATTTTAATATTGTAGTCCCGTCGTGACTCTCGTCCACTTCGGAGTCAGATTCACTTTCAGGAACGTCTGGAGTAAGGGTGACGTATTGTATGAATCATGGAATTAATTAAAAGATACAATACCTACATTCAGCTTCGTAAAGCACATCCATTGGTAATCTTGCTGGACCGCTGAAAATCGCCACAGTGATGGGATTGACCAAACTGACTGTCTTTACATGACAGAATCTGCCGGAGCGACTCATTTCCTCGTACAATAACCAATCGCTGGGTAAGGTGTCTACATTAGTAGAGTGTGACTGGGCTGACGTCATACGTGGCGATTTTGCAAAATCACGTAACGTTGAAGAGGGATGAAAGAATACCTTGACCTCCTTTCTGAAGTTAACACGGAGTCAAAGAATAAAGTTTGAAAGAATGATGAACAAAGGGATTCAAAGAACAAATAATGTCTTACTGTGTTCTCAGATGAGAGTGTTCTCTGTCGACACGTATCAAGTTTGGATAAAGTCCAGCTGTCAATGCAGCTTTGACTACTGGCCAGCTTTCAGAATTCGAATTCAGATCACGTATGTCGCCGGATCCACGTGCTCTCACAAACCCGGAAGCACGTAACTGACCTAGAAGCTGCGTGCGCATTCCCACCACCATTTCCATGACGGCGGATGAGATAAAGTTTTTTTCACAAAATATACGTTCCCACCCACTCGACCTAGCATTTTGCCAACTTTGAAAAGCTCGCAATAACGCCATGTGATCTGAATAGCTTCCAGCAGCGAATTTCTTGCGCGATACATTGGCAGCACGTTTCTGAGATGGTTGACCAGGTAGAACGAATGGATCTCTAAGAAAAAAAAAACAACTATTGAACCAAGCATTTTCACTGTATCGTACACGCGTAACTTCATACTATGCCATACTTACTTGTAGGCCAAGCAACATACTATAGTCAAAATGGGATCAAGACATTTCAATGTCACAGCGTATAACAGCATCTTCCCAAGTCGTGGCTCCACTGGTAAATCTGAGAGATGAGTTCCCAATTCTGTAAGATCCTCCCATGGATCAAGAGCATCGATAGTTTTTAATAGCTGCACAGCATTTCTCGTGACCACGTTAGATGGTGGTTCTAACGCTCTTTCAAGGTATTCAGCGATCGTTGTGTTCCCTGGTGCCAAGTGTTTAGTATGCAAGCATAATTCTTGCAAGGGCAATCGCAAGATCTCAGGAGTCTGATAAGCCTGCATGCTGTTGTACCGTATTGAAGAAAATAAACGATAGCAAATTCCCTTTTGACATCTACCAGCCCTGCCTTTTCTTTGCTTAGCACATGCTTGCGATATCCAATTGGAACGTAGCATGCATACGTTAGATAAAGCATCGAATGACTTTTCCTTTACCTTTCCTGAATCGATAACGTACACCACGTCATCTACTGTAATACTCGTCTCTGCTATGTTTGTGGATAATATAATCTTTCTAACTCCTTGCGGCATTGGCCGAAATATTCTTTTCTGATCGCAAGTCTGCATGTTTGAGTGCAACATGAAAAGGCTGTACCGAAATCTTTCATTCAGCTTTCTCTCCTCGCCATTGATCTTCTCTCTCATGTTAACAATATCGTCGTAGCCCGGTAAAAACACTAAGATGGATCCCATTGGCATCTTTAAATGAATGTGCAGAATTAAACTGAGCAAGAGATCATAGTCTATGTTCTCATCATTGAACGTATGATGATATACGTCTAACAATAATTTATCATCTTCGGAGAGAGATGCACTATTAGAATTAGTTATTTCATGGTCCTGCACTGTGCAGTCATAGGTCTTCATGTATGCTTCAATTAAGTCAGCGCATTCTGGCTGATTCATGTTTTTTGCCCAATCTAGTGCAGTCCATTCATTTCCGGCACGTATATTTAAATTAGCGCCTAGATTGAGAAGTTGTTCAGTGGTATTTATGCAGCCTCTACCGGCTGCTACCATTAATGGTGTTACGGAAGTCTTTGAGTGCTGATAATCGACAGAAATGTTCTCCGATAAAATAAAATGTAGCAGTTGGGCGAAATTATCTTCCCCACCGCAGAGCCAAGCGTCGGATATGGATTTGTCCATTTCCTCTATTAACCATGGCTCAAGTTCTACTTTCTCCGCAACGGGCTCATTTTGCTGACCAAGAATGGGCGCCGGAAGTAGACATCGTTCAGCACCAGGATTGACCTTTGCATTTTGGGGCTTGTACTGTGTCCAAGACTCCAAGACTTTACGCTGATCCTTCTTGTTTGTCAGTTCTTTCTTTTTTGCTTGCATATCCTTGCTCATGTAACCTGTTATTTTCAATACATCCTCAAGGAAATAGCATTCGACGTCATAAGTTTTGCCGAGAACATTGATAACGGCGCAGTCGTTGAAATATTTCGCAAATATATCTATGTCCATTGTTGCACTCATGAGAATAACTTTTAGTGATTGAAATTTGACCAGAGCGTCTTTTAGTGTTATTAAGAGAAAATCACAGAATCTATCACGCTCGTGAACTTCATCTACGATTATATGGGTTATCATAGCCAAGGATGAATCATCTCCCATTAATGTTCTAAGAAGAACACCATTTGTACAATATGTCAATAGTGTCTTTGGAGATACTCTACTTTCAAGCCTAACTTGGTAGCCAAAGGTATGCCCTATTTTTTCATCTCTCTCAAATGCTACTCTTTCAGCCACCGATACTGCTGATAACCTTCTGGGTTGAGTACAAATTATTCTACAAGTTTGGTTTTTTTGTTGATAATGCTCTAATATATACTGAGGTACTTGAGTCGTTTTGCCGCTACCAGTTTCTCCTGCCAGTATCACAACTTGACTAGAACACAATGCGTGTAAAATTTCCTTACGTGAACTGTATACAGGTAGAGACTTGCGAAATGGCAAAATCTCATGATTAGTTTTCAGGTGCGGTACTTGGGGTATACAATTATTCAGCCTTCCCATTGTTGTAGTATTTGTATTAACTAAAAAAAACGGAAGAATAGTCTCTGTTCTTAATAATGAGAAGAAATCCTATTAATACTTTGTAGTTCTTAGCCTAATACTACTTACCATTAGTATTTACGACTCTTTCCCTTTCTGTTGGAGGAAGCAGATCTTGCCGCTCTTTGTTGCTTAAAGGAAACTTTTGTATCAAATTATAAATACCCTGTCTCGAAGGCCTTTGCAATTTAATTGCAGCATCAGCTTGAATTATAGTAGATCCTTCTCGTTTATATACGGTCAAGAACCTGTTTGCTCCTTTTCTATAAAATTAAGTAACCAAATTGGAGCAATTAAAAAACAGAAACATGTATTTACTTGTAAATGTTGCAAACAACTTACCCACGACTTTTAGACTTCAATCCAAGTTCTCTAGCAAGCTCATGAATGTATGCTCGCTCTTCTGCACTGTAAGATGACGGATACTCTAATTCTCTCTGATCAGGATCTTCCATTAACCGTTTTATTGTTAGGTTTACAGCAATTCTTGTATCTTCGCCAATTGCTGAATGTTTTCGATTTTTACGTCGCGGCATCGTTTATGTCTTTTATCCACTAGTTACTGAAATAATATATATGTTCAATCAGATTCTACAATCCCTTGAGATAATGACAATAAATTCAACCATCAGCAACTAAAATATTTCTCAAGATCAGTTAAATTTTCCGATACAGATAAGTTATAACAGCTATTGTATCAAATATGAAAGAAAAATTATATGGATATTTTGCATGGCACACACATCATTTATTTTTACTCGTAACGGCACGGTTATTACTAAACAATTATTAACAAAATATGTATAACAATGTAAGACATTGTAAGGAAAAATGCAATGCCAAATCTTACCAGCACAACAGGTCAATAAACAATCACCATACTGTTACGATATATGTAGCAATCGGAGTAACTGTACAGTTAGCCGTTTTTTAAGAGTCAAACTAGATGGCAAGTATCGACAGCCGTCAATAAATAGTAGTCAAGTCAGATAATATAGATTTATAGTTATGAAAATGAACTCTACAATGTAAATCAGTATAAACACAGGCCATATGAGCGATTTGGAAAATAATTACGCAGAAGATTAGCAATGTTTTATTCTTTCAAGTAGCGGAGTTCAGTATTAATAATAGAGCTGAATTACCGCCGCAGCGCTGATATCGCACAGTGCTATGGTGACTGAAAAACAATATGTGAAAAGCGCGATTTTGAATGGAGGACACTAGTGCTGGTACATTAATTAATTCTAAAAGCCATACAACAGGTTTGTGAGTCTAAAATGTATTTATGACTTCATTAACAAACCCCCTTTGTTAAGAAATATGATTAGGCAGCCAAACGAGCTTAGCTTGTCGCCCAAATTACACTCTTTAGTTGCCATTATATGGTTTAAGTTCTTGCCTTCAGCGAAAGCTTTTTTAATTCACAAATAAAATGAAATTTAAAAAGCAAATAATATACCAGAGGTAAATATAGTTTACTTAATTTCTATACTTTCTCTCTTTTGATTCGTAGGAACGATAATTTATTCAGCATTAAACAAATAAATGATTATTAAACATATTTGGACTTATAGAAGATGAATACAAGAATTATTTGAAGCCTTCTCGCATTTCCTCTCTCTCTCTCAAATCGTAACAGATCTCAACGTATTCGTTACAGATCGTTACAGATCGTAACTCTCAAAAGGGCATATAAACATAAGACTTTCAGCAAACATACCCTCTTTTGCATTTAGTCACACGAAATCATTCAGCATTGTTTCACGCGACAATCCGTTAATTTTTCATCGAATAGGTATTGTGTTGGCGATGTAAATGTATCTTGTACGCGAGCATCATCGTGTCTCATTTTATCTGTATGCATTAGAGGGAAATGCACCTGTGGTCTCAATAGATAATGCGCTTACAGCGTAATTACAATAATCCACTGACGTATAGAACTACTACATGATTTTCGCACGCAAAACGTATCGAACGATTGATCGAGAATGGATTCCTTACCATATGTTTCATTTAGTCTTTTTCAAGTACTTTTTATATTTTAACCCTCTGCAGCCGACTTCCCCTCTCAGGCACTAAAATATATGGAAAATGGGGAAATCCTGGGCGCAAAAGCTTAATATAAATTGATCTACACTCACATCAGATGCGTATTATGCACATACTTGTTTGTCTCATCCATGGACATTATGGCAAGGATGAATTTATTAACAAGAAAAATTGAAAATAAATTTGTTATCGTTAATATATTCGACGGAGAGCCTAGAGTGCAATTGTTGAGTAATGTACTTGCAGGTGCAACCATCTGATGTTGATAACTTCCTCAAGGCCGCCTCTTTGTAAATAACGAAATTCAGTAACGCAATCGGTCTGTGATATATTGTGGATCGATCATGGGCCGATACCTTCGGAACAGTTCAATGCGTGAACTATGTTTATCTTCAAAATGCAAGTATCTGTTTGATTAATCGTACAGTTAAACTAAATTTAAACGATTAACTATGCTGGTGGAATCGAACCTATATGTATGTATGAGGTCTCTGTTCTGCCACTAGAATCTGTTGAGAATTATGTTAAAATTATTTCAATTAGCATCCTTGATATTTTTAATGAGTTATTAAGTTTCTTTCCTTTTCGGGCATTGTTTTATATTGTTTAAATATACCCCTCCGCCAAATTATGAAATGAGAATTGCTGTCTCGCGACAGATAATAAGAAATTAGTAGCTCATACAAACTTATAAGATGTAACGAGATAAATAAATTTTAGCCTGTTTAATTATTTCCATTTTATTGCATCAAAATGTCAAGTATAATCATCGGTACCAATTCGATTGTTAGAGATTTACGCTTTAGGTCCATGTCACATAGCCGATTTACATTAATCTTAACGCTGATTCACATCGGGCATAAGTCACAGTCGGTACAATAAGATTTAGCTAAAGAACGATGCTATTTTAATTCGAAATTGCAATCGTCTAGTGAAAGCGTTGAGTGTGAAAGTTATTACCATAGATATATAATGATTTTATAATATGCATTATAAAGTTATGGAAAATTATGAATCATAACTCAGGCTACTTTTTCATGTCATTAGCTATCGTTATCTACGCTTAAAGAAAAGTGTGATTAATGATAGATGACATTAATTCGTAATAATGTAATCACGTGCTCCCCACCATTTTCTACCTCCTATATGACATCCCTAAAAAGTACTTGAGGTTATGTGAATTGTAAGAGGAGAAAGATTAAGTGGAAGGTGTAAATGGTTCAAATTGGCATATTGAAGAGATATAATTGTGGCTGAACGAATCAGCCAGATAAGTTGGATCATTTTCCAATGAAAGATAACAGGCTTCATCTCAATCACAGTGAAAATGGTGGTCGCAGGCTTTGTCAAAGCAGCGATACGCCGACTATAATTTAACAAGGAAAAAGTTATTGTTGAATGCCTGCACGCCCACTAGTTTTGATAACATTGGACAGATTTCATAAGTGCAGCATATATGCCACACGCAGGCACAATGAGCATATTACGGAAAAGGTAAATCTTTATTATAGCTTGTTGATGTTCTATATTTGAATTTATTTTGCATCGTTTTTATATATTTTCAGATTGCACGACTTTGATGATGTTCTAAATGGTGAAGAAATAGATATAACCAGTCTTAAACGACTATGTTTCCATGGTATGTACATTGATTTGGACTAATTGTTACATCTTTTGTACAGTTACAAAAATGATAAATAGAACAAATTTTGATATATGACATTTTCCCTTTGTATTTTAGATACCATACATACTTTTCTTAACTTGTAATATTGTTCATTACGTTTAAAGCAATTTTGATTCAGTCGTTGTTGGTATGATCTAATTGATTTTATTAATAGATTAGTATAAAATGCTGAAGTGTAATATTTCGTGGACTTTGTTCTTAAAATAATCTGTGGCCTAAGCTTATCGTAACAGTTTATATAGCTCTTTTTGCGTATAAAACGATTCCTAGCTTTGCTGTAAAAAATATTGTGCTACAATTCATTATGCTTAGAGACTTTGTAAATTTTTGGAAGAATGTTATAGTGATCTGAATTTTGATTGAATTACAGGTGTACCAGATGAAGGAGGCCTAAGACCACTTTGCTGGAAGTTACTATTGAATTACTTACCGTCCACAAGAGCTAGCTGGTCTGAAACTCTCTCACGAAAAAGAGAACTATATAAAACTTTCATTGGTGAGAAACGCAACTGCTCTGAATTTTTGCTTCATGGATAAATTTTATTCGGGGCCATTTAACACTTACTTATTTATCAATAAAAATATACATATCGCTACAGATGATCTCATAGTAATGCCTGGAGAGGCAGATGTGGATGGAGAACGTGTGGATGTCACATTACAAGATCATCCTTTAAACTTAAATCCAGATAGCAAGTGGCAAACATTTTTCAAAGATAACGAGGTTTTACTTCAAATAGATAAAGATGTCAGGTAGCAAATAGTTTCTATTTAATTGATTAATGTAATACAAAAAGTGGCATAGGCATCAATCAAATTTTTATTTTTTTTTTTTATAGGAGACTTTGTCCAGATATATCATTCTTCCAACAAGGTACTGATTATCCCTGTAAAGCTATAGTAAATGTCAGTGGATCAAAACGTCTTCATCGTCGTGTACAACACACTGTACTTCGAAGTGCTAATGTAGAGAGGAAGGGTCTTGGCATAACAAAGGTAAAGAATAAATTTTATTGCTACAAAAATTACATAAACTGTTTTTTTGAAATCTTCATAATTCTTTTTTTCCTGCATTCCCTATTATGGAAAGCAGCAGGTAGAGTATCAGGTTTAGTTCATCAGATGAGTCATAGCAATTAAAACACAATACTGATTCTTTAAAATCTAATACGAACTTATTTTAGATAGCAGTTTCTGTAAGAAAAGCTGTCGAAGATTATGCTCCATTGGCGGAAGGTGGTGAAGCACATTGGGAAGTCTTAGAGCGAATTCTATTCCTCTATGCTAAGTTGAATCCAGGTCAAGGATACGTTCAAGGAATGAATGAAATTGTTGGACCAATATATCATGCGTTTGCTTGTGATCCTGATCATCAGTGGAGAGGTACCCAAATAATAACAAAACATTGAATAATTATGTAATTTCCAAACTATTCACAAACTATTCTGTTTTCAGAACATGCAGAGGCTGACACATTTTTTTGCTTTACAAATCTAATGGCTGAAATTCGTGATTTCTTCATCAAATCCCTTGACGAGGCTGAATTTGGTATTAACTCCATGATGAGTAAATTGACACGACAAGTTAAGGTCAATGATCACGAGGTTTGGCTTCGACTACATCAACAGGAATTATGTCCCCAATATTACAGTTTCAGGTAAAGATTTAAAACTTCAATTAAATACTTGAATAACATTGCCTTCCGACGTACTATCCATATATTATACATTAAGATTTTTTCTTAACACTTGTTGACATTTTGAACTACGTCGGTAATGACGGTTCCTTCTTATACTCTTATTGGAAAGTTCGTTATTTACAGATGGTTAACGCTGCTCCTTTCTCAAGAGTTCCCACTTCCCGACGTTATGAGAATCTGGGATAGTCTCTTTGCCGACGAGAATAGATTCAGCTTTCTCATTCATATCTGCTGTGCCATGATCTTGTAAGTCTTCAAAATTGTTAACGTTAAATAAAAATGTCTTACCTACGTATTCTTAACTTTCAGATTGTTACGAGATCAGTTATTGGCTGGTGACTTTGCCACGAATGTAAAACTCTTGCAGGTAATGACGATACGATTAACAATATAAACTCAAATAAAGCCATACCGACTTCAAAGGGAACTAATAACATGGCATTTCCTTTACCACAGAACTTTCCGTCGATGGATATTCAAATTGTACTCTCCAAAGCAGCGGCATTGGCAGGGAAAACTTTGAATTCTTCTTAACGAATGCCGACTTATATTCTTCCAATTAATGCGATCTTTGAGGTAATATAAAAATAAGAATAATGAATGGATTCGAATTATCCTTGTATATGGTATAAGAGAAGAGAATATAAATTCCAAGCTATATATATATATGTACAATGCGTATCTTGGAGTTCGATGATATTTTTACGGTATTATAGTTCACTAAACTCCGCAATTTATAAAAAATAGTCTAAGCATAATATATAAATTATAAGCCTGCCACATTGCCGAATAATTTCGTCGGGTCGTTAGGCCGGATAAGAAATGTTTAGTAAAAAATCGCAGCTCGATATTTAATCCACAATTATTTTACTTCGATTTAAATTCGAAGATATGTTCTACATATTGTCGCTTAAAGCGTCACATTTGAAGAAGAGTCGAGGAACGACTTTTTTTAATACGATTCAATTAATGAAATGTTTTATATAAATATATATCAGTCCCTCTAGACTACAATTAGATCACTACCATTTGTATACACGACGGATATCGTTGCTGTGAAATTATATTTCATGATCTTATTTTTCTAATGATCTGCGTCATTCATTTTACGTTTTATATAATAAACACTGTTATATTTGCAATCGCCTGCTAATGTCATTAGACCAAATAGTCCTATCAAGTAATCCAAAGTCATTCTTCCTCGTTCATTCAAAGAATATACCATTGTCCTAGAAATAACCACCTGGTACACAGGTGGTTAAAAATTTCTACATTAGTTCCATTGAAAAGGGTCGTGATCTTATGGTTCACAATGTAAAAGAGTCCCCCGAAACTGGAACTGATCTCTGCTCAGACTAAAGAGTACAGATTCATTCCAATCCGTCATAATGAAATTCTCGTTAATTTGTTAAAGTCTGCAGTAACGTTAAAGCCAGGAGTAGTGTGAAAAAAAATCTTTTGTATCAACAATGACAAGCATGAAATTGACAGAACGGATCAATTCCTAGTAAAAATTTCTTTAAATTTCAACAAAATCTACGTAAGCTGATGCAAACAGAATAAGTATTCCCAGCTTGATTCACAAAGGGAATACACGATGATTACTATTAAATTAATAAACCAAATTCGCTCGCGAACTGAATAAACTGAAATACGAGGATTTCATTTCGTGTCATCTTCTCTCAAATGCGATGATTGGACCGAAATCCAAGCGCGGAATACAAATCAGTATACGTTTCTGTTATCTGATTCTATACTATGCACGTAACCTACAAATTCCTGGCAGGTAGCGTGCATACAAATTATCCATATAAAGAAATGAGCGCGAAAATATGAAATGCCAAAAAGTGCCAGAATCAAATTACAAAGACAAAAGATTGTGTAGAATATTAAGTAACACAAAAATTTTGAATAAAAAATACAAGTATAAATCTCCGGCAAGGTCAATAATTTTGGCCCATATGCATTTACAAAAATTGTAGCCCTCGAACCGACAGAGCATTTCCATAGCATATTACCAAAATCAATAAACAACCAAGTTTCTGCTACGTGAAATGAAAAGTGAATAATTAATTATATAACTTTTATTTATATATATTTTTTTTAGAATTTACCTGAGCACCGATGTATGGAAACGCCCACGACCCATGTCGCTATCCTCGATGATCGCTGATTTATGTAGCATTGTGCCTTTAAACCCTCGGTTATATATGTACCGGGGTGTATCCACAGACACGGGCACTGGCTACAATGGATCTCGCGCTTCCAGTCGTTTTATTATTGTCACCCTGTATGCATTTTGTTGGTGCAACAATATCGCTCGCGCGCCACGGCCAAGCGTAGCGAATCGAATCACGCATAGGATATACCAGAAAGGACGAACGAGAGTAGTTCATGGATACGAAGGAGACAACGAGGGAAACGAAGAGGAAGAAGATGGCTGGTAACCTTCTGGATTCTACACCCTTGAATGAAATAGGCATAAAAATGGGCAAGGATCCGAAAAAATGTAATTGCGTGGGTGGACTTTTATGGCGGCTGATTGCTTGATTTATAATCTCACTCGAGCTGCACTCCCGCCGACGGCTGCGTACATGCATATACGATACGCGTGGATGTCCTTTCATACATATACATAAGCTTTTGCAAGTTCCTACCCCATTCGAGAAGACACTCTGCTCCTGGCAATTTTTACCGCTTCTCATTACCTAACCGACCCAATCAAACTACTGATTGAGGAAGATTGCGACAAAAACAGGCCGATAACACGTCTACGATACACGCCCCCGTCGTAAAGCCTGATCCTGCGAAGACTGACTGGGCCTACCAAGCGCCGCTTTTGCTTAATCAGTGATCATGCATTTTACGAGGGTGCAATGAGACGATCGTTATACGAGGATATCATCTATGAACACGTGGAATGGCCGCTATTTATTTTACCTTGATCATTTATTACATTTTACAGTAAATAATTCCACGAAATTTCACATCTGACTTTATTACCGTTTATCATTAGTGGGGTAATACCGATTAAATTAATTCCGCGTGTATATAGCTTTAACTATATCAATGAAAAATTTATTTTTATTTGATGAAATTAATTTTGCAATATTTTTTTCATGTTTCTCGAAACTACCCAAATCGAAGATCAATATTGGATACCGGAAGGGATCATCTCTCGATGAAGATCCAAAGATGGAATTTATATCCCGTTCGATCAAACGTCACGCACCACCATCCCAAGACGTGAAGCATGCTTGCACCTCTATGTATATATAAGGTCCATGCGACCTGCACAGCCTCGAAGTTGACGAATGTGGTAAGATCAACTAAGGGTGACTGGCAGATTGTTCGCCAGCGATCTCAGCGGTGGTCCACACTGGGTAAAGATCGTTCCGACGAACGGATTGATGGATACGAGCCTTAAAGAATGGTCTCAGCCTTTTCTTTATAAACTCACCATGAAGACCCACGTGTCCGCAGAATCTTCGAGTACGTCACGCACAGGCCCAGAAAGGATGCTAAAAGCAAAAAGAGGTTAGAAATTTCATAAAAATCAAACCCAAAATTCGCATCGTGCGTCATTTAATATCTACTCTTAAAATCATTCCAGAGAAAGCAAATGGCCTACCGAGAAGTCATCGAAGCGATTAGTTCGTTGGTGGTCCACGTTTGCCGGTGTCGCATCAAAGATCTTAATCATTTATTTGTATCTGTCCGTCCTCTCAGCATCGGTACCTACCTGCTAGTTCCTCATTGTGTACTCGTCGAATCCTCATGAAGCGACGGCGAGCTTGCGACGGCGTTACAAGACGATTTTATTGGCCGATCTCAAGAGCCCATTACGTAATAACTCTCCGCCATCCGCCATCGATCCTAGATCAACGATAAACGATCGGTAGATACGTACCGTAAGGATCTTTCTTTTGGTGATCGCCGCTGCAAGATGGCATTGATTACCGATCAGGTACCCCACGTATAATACAGCTAAATACAATAACGATTTCTAAATTCCCTAATAGATATACTCGCTCTCTCCCTCTCTGTACCGCGCATATATTTACAGTACTTAAAGAATTTTTCACGCTTCTAATCTATACGTCTTGTTCCCAGTTTCCACTGCAGCGCCATGGACTTTTTGCTTAGTCAGCTGAAAAATCCTGAGAAAATGATGCCAAGCGATATATCCTGCACAAGGCTGCAGGTGATCCATCTCCTGGAGGCCGATGTATGCTTAATACCCAGTTCACACGCAGTCACGTATAACACGCGTGCACGTACTACTTGGTGCAGTGTGTCGGTGAAGAGGATGCACCATGTAAAAGGTTGGGACGGTACTGTTAGAGACTGTACATGGTCCGCGTCCCATATGGATATGTACCTGCCTACATTCCTCCACTAGAATCTTAACGGCTACACGTTTATCTCTCTCGCCATGGTATGGCATTGTGTGTATATCTATAGTTGCGTGTATATATATGCTGCATATAAGATGCATGATGGATACATTAGAGAAGAGGATGGGAAGAAGGTGGAGAATCTCGGATCGGCGCTGTATTAATCTTAAACGCACGTCAATAATCAGACACATTATAGATCCTTGGGATCAATGATAAAAAAAATCTCACCGAGTATATGGGATACGTCACGACGTCATATATCCAGAGCAGGAATGTCACGTGTGAGTCTTTCCTTCCAGAAATCTGGTTTATTGCAGTGTATAGATATATATTTATTTTTTAAATATTTTTACAGCTGGAACTCTTCATAGTACCTGATCATTTTGTTTCAACTCTTTTATTCATCGATATCCAACGTGAGTCATGTATTGGTTAATAATGGTATTCGGTTTTTGTATAGTTAAATGAGCTCTTTTTTTTTAATATTTTTTTTTCTAACGATACATTTTTTTCAGACTGATATCTTTTATCCGGATGCGAATATACTCTGAATGGGCTACGAGATAGAAATACCTAATAAAATATCTCTCTGGACCATAATGAAATCCTCACCCTCACGGTGCAATGGACTCCCTCAAAGTTTAGCTATCTCTAATGAACTGGTAGTCCGTTGGTTAGCAGGCACAGTATGTATGCTTGTACATATGTAGCTACAGGGTGTTAGATAGGGGATTGGCAGCCCGTCGGGCTCCTTCGGTTCTGGAATAGGTAGCTGTATGTACTGATACAAATAAATCCCGTTAGTACTCATGGTAACTGAGTAACTATATATGTAGAATATATAGCGCATATAGCATATAAGCGATGTAAGCCAAAGCCGCTTCGTGTAACGTCAGCCTACCCAGATACAAGGGCTAACGCGATTTTCGCATCTGTGAATATTTGCCCGTAGCTAGTATTAACGTGGTAGGTCATATACCAGGGACGTGTACGTACATATGCAGATCGGGTGGACCGTGTTCTCTTTGGGTGGAATTCGGCTAAACCATACTGCTGGTATATGTACGCTGCACTGCGCATGCGCACGGATCTAATACGAAGGGTTGTCAGGTTGTTAGGTTAGGTCCTAGGGTGTTCATGCCGTTTCTTCACGTTCTGGGGGAACTGGGAATTTACATTTTTACGGGATTATACGGGGGGTTGGACTCCTACCCGCTAAGGGATTAACGTTAACAGTTACAACTGTAATAATAGATTTGAGGGTGGTGTTGAGAATTTCATTGGGGTGAATGGCTGGTGGGGGTTGCAAAATAGGCTTTTTTTTTTTAGAGACGTGGCTATTGTAATCCTTTCTAGAGATAGTGAAAAAAAAAGACAGTAATGGGCTTTTATGTCATTTTTGTTTTAATTGGCCATATGGTGGGTTTGGGGGCAGTTTTGTTTTTAATGATGGTGTTTGACAATTTATTTTATGTGTAGGTATGTTTGGATTTAAATATCATGTAAAAAGCGGGTTTTTAAAATATACAAACTATATTGTTATTGGTAGGTAGTTTAGGCGAATACACCATAGCCATACTTGGCGTGTATAAATAACGTCTCTAGGGATATTTGAATTAGCCAGATCGTTGATCCTGTAATTCTCTCTGATCCTTGCCATCCCCTTTTCACCCCATAGTAGGGTAAATCCTACCGTGTGTCACATGTCGCCCGATACACAGTACAAGATCATTTCTGGTCATTTAACAAGGTACGTTCACCAATTGATTTGAAATTGTAAGAAAAGAAGGTATAAGGTATATTGAAAAAGTTTTTTTCTTTTTTTTAAATTCTTTTTCTAAAGAATTTTTTACACCGTTACGTCGACGTTAATCAGCGCGATCAAGCCAAAAGATCAAAGGTCCTTCCTTACCACGAATGGTAAATTGCATGCAAATGAAAATGGAAGAAAAAAAAAAGAGTTCAAAATTTCTCCGACCCTTTCGTTCCTTCCTTTCTTTTATATCTTTCCTGTGCCAAAGACGAATTTCACCCACAAATTATTCGGTTGTACGATTTAAAAGAGAGGCCGAAGAGGGTGAAAGTCCATGGACCACAGCATCCGTTATTGCCTTACAGATTACGCGAAAGCTCTTATCAAGGAAATTTACAATCAATGGAAATTGCTTATTTCTCACATTTTTACCAATAGACGTACTTTTCTTTTATAATCAACGATATATGATACTTCTGTGCGGATTATATTTTATTTTCAATAGTGAAGATCTTATTCGCACTTGACATTTTTTATGGGGATGGTCCAGTGGAGGTACGAGTACAAGGGGGGTACTATTCATGATCTGCAAATTTCGGATCAGTCAGTGTATTGTTTTAAAGACAGTGAATGGCGACAATAGAAGCCAGCAGCCACGCAGGGTGAAACGTTCGAGCCAGTCTGTAACGGGATTATAAGGGTTGCTAAGAAGAGAAACGCAGAACGCAGCATAGGGGTGGACCTGATCGAGGGTGCGGACAAGTGGACCGAATAATCTTGACAGGGAGGTGCGACGGCCTCGAGGGACGCTTGACGACTAATTCAATTCTTAATGGATCGCTGGATTTGCTTTTGAAAACCTGCCAAAAAACCGCACCGATCAAAGGAATCTCTCATTTTTTTCAATTTGGACAATAATTTTCAATTTTTCATTTCCGTACACCCTTTTCTTCCCTACCCACTTACACAAAATCACCAAAAATTCTTCATACTGTCAGCATCTAATAAAATTTTGGAAAAATTTTCTGACGTCTCAACATTTTTATTGCATTTTTAAAGGGATGAAAATATTGATTTTTTTTTTTTTCCTTTTAATTGCGATAACCACAGTGCTGTATACTGTGTGACCCCTTTTTAATTTCGCCCCAATTTGACGTCCCTGGTATTTTTATTGCAAATTAAATAGAATCGCGGCTTTTCCCATTGAAATTCAAAGAGCGGGTTCTTTTTATACCCAAAACAGAACGCCCTGTGCTGCCTACACACATGTCCTGGTCCCTTGTGTAACCGTCAATGAATGCTCAAAATATTCTAGTGGTGCTAGCCCTTTGAGTACGTTGCAATGCTATTCATAAATCTGTCGTCGTACCTAATGACTGAAATTATCACTGGAGAAATTATGGGATGATATGAGTTCGGGGAGTACGTGTACGAATGTGAGTGCGTGTTGTGTATATCTATATATATACATATTTAGGGGATGCTTGTCGACGAATCGAGTACAGGGGGTGCATATTTAGCAATTATTCAACATTGTAACCAAAGGTATGCGTATGTGATATGTGGCAATAATTTCAATTCGCAGAAATCGTGCCTTCTTTTAAAATTGACACAAAAATAGGAAATTTGATAGGAATTTGAAAAATTTGCATAAATTTATTTATCTCTGGATATTTTTATCTATTTTATTGAACGCTAGATGCTGCACAGTCGTATAAAAAATTAAGAACTCTATTTCAACGTGTTTTGTTGCTTTGTCAGTTCAAGGGAGTCAAAAGTCAGAAGCATATATATTACATATATGTCTATAGATAAGACACTCGCGTTTGTCTGCGCGATGGTATCTAAAAAATAGTAAACTGGTACAGAAGAATTAGTTCATTATTATGCCTACAAAGTCGACTAAACATTTTGAAAAAAAAAATTAATAAAAAAAAAATATAAGTTTCTGACTTAATACTATTGGCATTCACATGTAATTACGTAACACTATTTTTCCATATACATATTTTGTCCATTGATTTAATAATTTTTGTAAAGTATTTCGTTACGTCCCAAAAAATAAACATATCAGCATATACAAAGAATTTCGAAAATATTTCACAGAAAAACAAAGTCATGTACCACCAGATTACCGGTACATAATATTTTTCGAATATATAAATTAAAATAAAAAAATGGTTCCATTGTTAACTGCACCAAGTCACCGGAACTAAGGTATTCCGTCTGCGTAGCTTTGTCAGGAGGGTTAGGTGTGTTTGCGATTTGGGATTCGCGAATCTGCCCGGGGACAAAAGAGAAGAGGAGCAGAAGGGAGGTGAGCGTGAGGAGTCTATGGGAGGAGAGGGTGGTTTAGCAAAGAGTAGGGAGTGGGCGAGGGGAAAGGGGGGTGGACAACCATATATATGTATATACACAGGATGCGTAGCACTAGCCTGCGCAACATGGCGGATTGGCAAGAGGGTTGGTCCGGAGTGTACGACGGCTGATCAGGGAGGCAGAAGAATGAAATGATCGAGTTATGCCTGATTGCCGCTTGTTGTTCCAGGTCGATAAACCGAACCGAAGCCCAGTGGGTTCTGTCCTGTTCTACCCAATTTTACGTATCCGCCAGGCGCCATAGGTCTCTCCTTCCACCCCGTTGTACCTATATCCCACCTCCAGGCTGTAACGGGCTAGGCCTACGTTATCCAATTACTGGTACCGGATAGACGGTAAATCGTCAGGTGAGTTTGGCTCGTCCTTTTCTTTTGTGACAGTATAAAAGTTCCTATGGTGACCAAACATACTGATATGTTCTTGTAATACGAAAGAGATGCATATAAAAAAATAATTTTTTTTTTCTTTTTTATTATACGCCATCTTCAATGCATCTCATCATTCGTTGACTTTCTTCCTGGAATTGATCTATTGATCGATCTCGAGTCTTTACTTTTGCTCGTAGATTTCGTAATCGTTGCTGGTAATACGCTGAGGCCAAGACCATGAGGAATGTAGAATGTAGAAGAGAAAGGAAAATACAGTATTGTACGTTTTCTATGGTATATTCATACGTATTGTGAACTAGCTTCACGCGCATTGCTTCGCAAGGTAGATGGACGGGTCGTCGGTATAGGTGGACACTGTAATCGGTAACCGATACAACAGGATCGGCCGTAGCCACCTGGTACGTGTGGTACACGTATGTTTCTCATATGCAAGGCCAATCATATTTGCTGACACGTCATTTTTATTCGTATACGTTATATTTATATAGAGGTTCGAATACCCTATTCTTCGTGTACCTTAATGTTCTACCTTACCGACAGTTCTACATTAACCGCTACTGCGAATTAGTTATATGATTTTTTATTTTAAGTAAAATTAGAAAAATAGACAAAATTCGTGTGCCGGGTGTACACGTCAACCCGGTTCTTCGTTAGGGTTTGGACTGGTTTCTGCGGTTTTACTCTTTTACGATTTTTGCCACTTGTTGGATCAATCCTATTAGGATTACCCAGTGTCCACTGGTTCTTCCTTGTATCTTGGTTAATTTACTGTGTAACGGTGCACTACGCGGAGATTGAGTTAACGTTAAGATTAAATTGGATTTCGGTTTTGCTCTGGCCTTGCTGAAACTTAGTCATCCGACAAGACCCTTCTAATCCATTTAAGGTGGTGGCAGCCTGGTGACTCTCGTCAATGTCGACAGGGTAGAGTTCAGAATCGGTGAGTTTGTTAGCCCGTGAATTCTGTCTTTGATATTTAAAAGAATCTCTTTAAAAATTTTTTTTCTTTTATCTTTTCTTTCATCTGTCTTCATTTTCCCTTCCTCCCCTCTTCATTTCTCTGTCAGGAAATACAAGCGTCAGCGGCGTTTCCTGTTTGTCAAAGCCGCCGGCATAAACATCCTCGCGAGCTGGTCGGACCGTGCTGAGGACGGGCGTCGGCCGTGGACACGCCCAGCGTCGCGACGCTTTTATCGATCAAACTGTCGTCTACCCAGAGCGTCCATTTTACTTTTACGTGAAAACTCAGCAACGGCAACCACCG